GGTACTTCGGTTTGAACGCAAAGGAAAGTTAACTCCGTGTATCATTAGTCCCTATGAGGTGCTCCAGATAATAGGACCAGTACCTTATCGTTTAGCCTTACCACTAGAGTTGGAGCGCATTCATAATGTGTTTCATGTATCCATGATCTGAAGATATCATTTTGACCTATAGCATGTCTTATTTTTAGAACAAGTTGAGTTGAGCCCTGACATGTCTTATGAGGAGGAACCAATTAGAATTCTAGCCAATGAAGTAAAAGAGCCGAGAAACAAAAATATCCCTTTGGTAAAAGTACTTTGGAGGAATCATGGGGTCGAAAACGCTACTTAGGAAACCGAAGAAGATATGAATCTTCAGTATCTGCATCTTTTCTATCTAAGTAAATTTCGAGGACGAAATTTCTTTTTAGGAGGGAAGAAATATAATGCCCCCGAATCACGGGTTAGTAGTTCGGGTTAACCCAAAACCCAAAGTTGAGCCATTGGACCTTATATTATAGTTGGACCAAGTTGTTGTTTGTGGACTTGAGTTAGGGACCAAGAGAGTTGTTGTTTGAAGATGAGTAAATTATGAAATAGGAGTAAAGGGACTAAAAGTGTAGTTTACCCATAGTCATTTTGGAAGCTGAAAATCCTTCCATATTTTATGTTTTCAACGTGAACCAAAACCCTTACACAACTCACAAAACACTCTTCCTATTTTCATCTTTCTCTTTTCTTTATTCTTTCTTAAAGTGAGAAACTTGGATAAATTTAAGCTTAGTTGAGTGAAGCCAATGTAAGATTTCAACTCCTTATTCTTCAAGCTTCAATATAAGCTCAATTTCATTAGTTTTTATGCATTGAACCAAAAATGGGTTTTGAGATGGTTGTGAGAATCTATGATTTTAAGGAGTTATTTAGAATGTATCCAACCTCTAGGTGGATTAGTAATCCATTTTCTTTCCTTGTTTAGTGAAGGAATTGAGAAAGAATTCCAAATCAAAAGGCAAAGAAAAGTTGAGCATTGGTTGAGTTGGGGAGAGTTCTAGCCACAAAATAAGCAAGGTAACACCTTTACAACTATTCTATACTCTTAGTGAGTCGTTAGAAGTTCAAAATAGTTTAAATGGTTGAGTTGAGCATGATAAACATTTCCATGGTGAAATTCTTGTGTTTTATAAATGTGTTTAAAGCCTCTATTATGACCCTTGTTGATCAAATAAAACTTTAAGCATGTTTGGGGACCTCACTAGGGTCTTTGGGAGTTAGAATATAGCATTTTACTATATGTTTTATGACTTCTATAGGTAGAGTATCGATACTATAAGGATAATATCGATACTTGTTCTTCGTTTTGGGAAAATTTGTGAGTTTCTGGGCAAGAGTATCGATACTCTTTTAAGAGTATCGAAACATTGAGTCATAGTTTCAAAACTCCTATAAAGTTTCAAAAGTGAATAAAACAGAATGTTTAAAAGTATCGATACTTATATAAAGTATTGAAACTATTGCATGAGTATCGATGCTCTTGGGCTAGTATCGATATTTTTAGTCTGTTTTGGAAAAATATGTTAGTTTTTAAGGGAATTAGACTCGAGGTACCCCAACACTTCATTATATTATCAGATAAGACTACAAGTGAGAATATTAATGATATTAGTTACACTTAGAAACAATATTCAATTAGAATGACATAAAAATAGCCTTGGATGATGCTCTGGAAACGATCAGGACACTCGATTTCTTTTAGTAAATACTATCATTATCGAAAGTGTAGTTTCAGTCAGGATATATCCTTAGGTAGTGCGCGAAGCACTTAAAGCTAACTAGCTTGGGCGCAAGGTCCAACACTCAAGGAGTGGGCTAATCGAGGGGGTTGACCGATTAGAGATTTCGGGCAACCAACCTCGGTAGACTAGAGGGGTGTGTGAGCTCCGAGATGCAGAACCCTCAGCTGCACCATGATGTCTACCATAGAGTAGAGAATGTTGTATACGAGTATACTCACTATTTCAGTTTATCAGTTTGCTAGAGCATGTCATGAACACTTTTAGTATGGCTTAGTTGTTAGTGTGGCACTGAGCTAGTTAACTCATCGTTTGGAATTTGTTCTCTTACGCAAGTTAGTCGAGGAGCAGTCCGAGGACTTTTTGACAGCAATGATCCAGACCCATATAGTGCAGTGTACGTCGCGAGTTCATCTTTAGTGAGCATGTATAATTGTAAACCTCGATTTGTATATTTTTATATGAGTCGTAACTCATTTTAAACTATGATATGTATGATTTAAATATTATTTTGGGAGCTCCTAATGTAAATTATTTTATTTAAATTGTAGTTGATTTATTTTAGTTTGAGTGGTTACAAATGGTCAATTTTATAAAATGAAAAAATTTAAAAGAAAAGTTTGGTTAGCCACTCTGGTGGTTCTGTGTGGCATTTTGATCAGTCGACGGTGTGCCGTACTGGTTTAGGGTGTTACAATTTTCTATCGGTTTAGAGTCAACCATATTAAAATTCAAGAACTTGGCAACTAAATTTTTTTTGCTCCACCATCTTCAGCTTTGTATTTGTGGTTCAATATCTCCCACAATTTTTAGTTGTTTAATAACCAATATGTGCTAGATACAGTGAATCTTGTACACTATTAAGAATTTTATGTTGGCATATATAATTAGTGTGCTTCGAAGCATCAACTTATTGAAGGCGGTAATATTGTCTACTTCTCCTTCTCTTTCTCCCTCTTTAAATACAAAAAGATCTTCCTTCAAGAACATAGAAAGGTTCATTGTTGTCATATAGAAAAACACCTTTTGTTGCCACATCTTGAAATTCTCTTCATAGAATTTCGTAAACTTCTCGTTGTGGTTAAATTTCATTGTAGGTTGACTTGTATTCATATTTGAATTCTGAATTAGTACCATCATTTTAGCATGTAAAACAATGTTTTTTGTCTCCATTTTCAATAAAAGAAACATGATCAAAATTAGTAATAATTCCAATAAACATAAAATTAATTCTCCTTTATTTTCGAGTTTTTATTGAACAAAATCAATATTCTGAAACAAAATCAGTAATCAATCTTACTTTCACGACAATTTCTGTTAAATAGATTTGTCCACTTTAAGATTCAAGCAAACCCATTAAGACGGCAAGATAAATTCTGAAACAAAATTGTTTACTATCTCAATTTTACCATAATTTCATAATCATATTGGATTAAAGAAAGATAGAAGAATGAGTTTAAAATTGTGTTAAGATTGTTATACAAAAAAATAATCTCAGATGAAATCGAATATGAGAAAATAAAGCAAAAGAAGTTAAAGTCCTTAAACGCTAAAATAAAGTATATAGAAAGGAAAATACTTTTTATTGATCCATTGATCGGTAACGAGTTAAGGCCTGTCACTACACATTTTCCTTAAGACATATTTTCAGTCACTCCTTAGTGGTTAAGATCCTTTGGTCATTTATCTCTCAAGAGATAGCAACTAAATGATCAACATACAATAACACAATTGTCAAGATCACGAACTATCCCCTTGCCTTTGTCTATCATCGAAAAACTAGAGGAGAGAAAATAATTTTCAAGATTTTTGATGTTCTTGAATTCTGAGATGTGTTTAACCTAACATATTAGCATAGTATTTGTAGGGTATTCTCAGAAGAGATTTACTCAAAATAAATATCTTTTAATATTTAAATTTAAATAGATAATAATATCTTTTAATTTGAAATATAGATAACTTTTAATATTCAAACTTAAATATATATTATTTTAATTTAAAATATTCAAAATGATATAATTATCGTTTAATATTCAAAGTTAAATGAATAATAAATACCTTTTAATTTAAAATATTTAAAAGAATAATTATACTAGTAATATTTAAATTAAAGAGATAAATATCTTTTAATTTAGAACATTCAAAAGTGATATGGATTTAATTATTAAATCCATCAATGAATTATAGCATTTTTCAGTTTAAAGACGATGGCGTCAACTGTGTGGCGGTCGAAAGCTCTCGCAGTTTAAAGTTTACGAGGTGGATTTTGGGTGGAGAAAGTCAGAAGGGGTGAGGAGTGGATCCAACAACCGATTCGATGGGATGGTGTATTTGTATCAATGGAAGATCGGTGGTCGAAGCATTGACGTAGAGGTTACCTTGGAGGCTCAAGCTATGGAGAATTTGGAGAAAGATAAAATGTTTCTCAAGGAAATGTAGTATTTTGGGTGATCAATGATCAAGGTTCTGAACTAGGTTCTGACTCTTAAGGTTTAACAAGGGGACAATAGTAAAAAAATGGGTGAGTTGACAAAAAGAAGAAGAATAAGTAGATATGTAAATTTTTTTATTATATGTTAATTGTCACGTAACATAAATCGAAATGATTGAAAACGTAAGAGATCAAATGTATTTCCTTTTGAACTTATGACCAAATTTGATTAGACAAAAAATTAAAATGAAACTATTGGTATGTTGCTATAGCTTTCCTTCCATGGCTATTGGCTAATAAATTCCAACTCCTCTTAGACTAAAAGTCAACATTTTTAATAGTCCGAACTTTAAAATGATTATAAAATAGTATATATTAAGATTTTTTTAGTAATTTACAACGTATATACTTTGCAGACGTAATTGCTTAAATCCAAAACGAATAACACTACCTTTAACCACTGAAACCATTCAATAGATTTAAAATTTAACATTTTTATTATATTGAAAAATTAGTTTTAAAATATATTTGAAGTTTATGAGTAAAATATTTATTCCGAAAAGAGAACATTAAAACGGGCGAGTATCACTAAAACCCAAAGCCTCGCATTTCACCAATACGAGGGGATGGATGAGATGCATAATCCAACTTACAAAAGGTTGCTTTCATAATTTATTTCCATTTTAATATTAATTGAACGGGGCGTCACCGCAAACGTCACATTTATTAATCCAAAGTTTGTGTGAATACAAAATTCTAGGCAGCCTCTCAAATATATATGTATCCTCGTCCCATTACCGTCTACTAACCAGAAAATCTACTCATCTCTTTCCTTCAATGATTAACGCACAACCCCAAGTGCTCTTAGTAACATTCGCTTCCCAAGGCCACATTAACCCTTCCCTTCAATTCGCCAAAACACTCATCAACAACGGCGTCCACGTCACCTTCATGACGGCCTCCTCCACCATGCACCAATTCACCAAAACCTCCGGCCCCCAAGGCTTGTCCTACGCCTATTTCTCAGATGGTAACCAAAGTGTCTTTCAACTCACCGGTAATATCAACCATTACTTGTCAGAGACTAAGCGTCACGGCACTCAATCCTTAAGAGAATTTCTTGCTGATCAGGGCTCCCGCTTTACTTCCATCGTTTACTGTACTCTTCTTCCTTGGGTGGCAACGGTGGCGCGTGAATTTAACATCCCGGCCACGCTCCTTTGGTTCCAACCCGCTAGTCTTTTGAACATCTTTTACCATTACTTCAAGGGATACGAAGAGATGATTACAAAGAACATCGACGACCCCACGTTTTCGGTGAAAATGCCCGGGTTGCCACCGCTTTCTCGCCGCGATTTGCCTTCGTTTTTCACTCCACCGAATCCACATGTTGTGCCACTCCAAACATTTAAAGAACATGTACAAGTTCTCGATCAACAAACCAACCCAAGAGTTCTAGTCAACACATTCGATCTATTAGAACCCGAGGCTATAAAAGCAGCTGAAAATTGCTACAATTTGATCGGCGTCGGACCACTAATGCCATCTGCTTTTTCAAAGGAGTGTAGGGAAATGGAATGGCTGAGCACAAAGCCTGAAAGATCAGTCATATACGTGTCATTTGGAAGCCTTTCCACGTTGGAGAAATCACAGATGGAAGAAGTAGCCAAGGGGTTGCTTGAAGCTGGCCGTCCATTTTTATGGGTGATAAGGGAAAATAGTGGAGAAGAAAATGAAGCATTGAGTACTAGCCAAAATGAATTGGAAAAGCAAGGGATGATAGTGGCATGGTGCTCACAAGTGGAAGTTCTTTCCCATCCATCTGTTGGGTGTTTTTTGACTCACTGTGGATGGAACTCAACGTTTGAAAGCTTGGTTTCAGGGGTTCCAATGGTGACATTTCCACAGTGGGTGGATCAAGGGACAAACTCCAAGCTTGTCCAAGATGTATGGAAGACAGGTGTACGGCTGAGAGAGAATGGAGAAGGAATAGTTGAAGGTTGCGAGATAAAAAGATGCTTGGAAATGGTGATGGGAGGTGAAGAAATTAGAGAGAATGCCATGAAATGGAAGGATTTGGCAAAAGAAGCCGTCCAAGAAGGTGGGTCTTCGTATAAAAATATCGAAGCCTTTGTACAAGAGCTTACAAATAATCCTAGTTGAAACGTTCGACTTATTGGTGGTAATTACTAAGTACTAAACAAGGAACAAAAATCTTATGTCCCTTTATCAGCAGCCCTTGATTTGCTGCTTTCCTTGTTGCTTTGAAGTGAATTTTGTGTTTCTTCATCTTTCTTTCTTCCTCTACATATATGCCATGTTTTATTTGGAAAGTATATATTGTGCTTTAACATAAAATTAAATTACTTGAAATTTCCTTTTGAAAATTTTAATAATATGCATCATCTTATCCTGAATTCGTTGATTAAAATCAAACCCACCAGTCCTATACTCCAATTAATATATTCTAAATATAGTTGATTCACTAAAAAGTTAATTTTTTTATTCTATTAATATATCAAATTTATTTTTTACTTAAAACCATATGTCTAAGTAATAAATAGAATTAATATCAAAACAAGTGTCCAAATTATATCAAAAATATCGAATAGGTGCCTAAACTATTTTTTGACTCATCCAAGTGTCTAACGTTACAAACGTTACTATTTTCGGTGTCTAATGTTACCACTTTAGGTGCCTAGACTATAACGGCCATTATAAAACCCTGTTAAGAGACAAGTGTCACAATATTATAATTTTAAAATTTTTAGGTACCTATTTGAGAATAAAGATATAATTTAGATACTTATTTTGATATTAAGAAAAAAACACACACACCCCATCCTTCTTCTTCTTAGCGTCCCACAACACCCTCTCCCTCCCCTTCTTCCATGGCTTTGCCATGGCCAAATGGACAAAGAACAAATGGTCGATTAAACGGCTGATCAAATCGTCGGTTTTCACAGACTAAACGACATATTACTACGAAAAATCAAATGAATTTAAGAGATTAGGTATTTGAGATTTTAGGGATTTGAGAATTTTAGGTTTTGAAATGATATTAAGAGTTGTAACCGGTCAGTGGGTGGTCGGCGACGTGTGAGTGATCAGTCGTAGGCGAATGGGTGGCCAGAGATTACTGACAGTTGGAGTAAATGAGATTAGAATATGATATTTTAAGAGTTTGGGGTTTTTTGGTATTTTAGAAAAAGTTGGATGTTTTTTCGAAAATAAAATATTTTAAAGTTTTTTAAAAATATAAAATTTTAAACCGAATTTCAATCAATATTAGAATTGAGTATCAATTTTATCATTAAAATTTTAAAAGATTTTAATTTAAATCATAAATTTTAATTATAAAAAAATCATAGTTTATAATTTTTTATTGCCTTTCTAGTTTTTAAGACTTTGTTATAGGTAATTCTGATCACCCGTGTTATATATTTGATTTTGGTGGATTATATTCACAAAAATTTAAACTCTAGATGTACTTAAGTGATATGAAATTGCTTACACTTAAATCAATTAAATCGGTAAATTTTAAATTTTTGTTATTATATAAATTTTAATTCTGAGTTCAATTAAGCGTAAGATTATTAAATTATTAATAGTCAAATAATATAATATTTTGGTGTTAACATGAAAATTTAAAAAATATATTTTATTTTTTATTGAAACTATTTTTTTTATTTCTCTTTCAAAATCATCATTGTTCAACGTTTTATACGCTTATTTTAAACATTGATAATTTTATTTTATGGCTGTCTGTCACTTTATCAATTTAATTTTTTTTTAAAAAATCTCTTTAAAATTTGTAAAAATAAATATAAAAATTATTATTTCAAATTTAGTGTTTGTTCAAAATTCAAATGTAAGAAGCATTATTTTAAAGAAAACTAATATCTCGAAATTAATTTTACCAAACAGTTGTCTCCAAAAGATCATAGCTTTAGAATAACAAATTTTTATATAATTTTTTTTGGGTAAATTATACATTTAGTACCTAAATTATCATTTTTGATATGTTTTAGTATCTAAACTTTTAAAATTTTCAAAATCATACCTATTTTAGTTTTTATTTCATTTTAGTGCTCATTATTAACAATTTAATGCGTTTAGTACATAAACTATCAGTTTTTGTTCGTTTTAGTATCTAACTTTCAATATTTTCAAAACTTAACGTTAAATTTTGAATGGGGCACTAAAATGAAACAAAAACTAAAGTTTTTAGCAGTGAGGTACTAAAATGAAACAAAAACTAAACTTTAGGTATTATTTTAAAAAAATTGAATGTTTTGGTATTAAAACATATCAAAATTGATAGTTTAGATATTAAACATGTAATTTACCCTAAATTTGTTTTATCAATTTTATGTGAGTATCTTGAAATTTTATCGTGAATAATGATCGGTGTAAGCAACAATTGACCGACAACGATAACTAGAAGAGTTGAAGCTTTTTTAAAGGAGCCAAATTAATATGCAAACTAAATTCATGAAAAGGAATAATAATTTAATGATCTAAGATTAAAATTAATATTTAATATACCTACAATCAGTTTGTTTAAAATATATATATATCAACACACTAAGTTAATCTAGTATGATAAGGTATTAGATCTTTTAAATAAAATCAAAGGTTTGAATCTTGACGTTTACAAATGGAGTAAATTATATTAGAAGGTTTGATATGTAGTCTCCACACCTAAAGTTAAAATTTGGAATGCCCCTCAAATTGTCAAAAAAAATCAATGTCAAAATCTTGGGTTATTATGCTTATTTATGTTGATGATCTGCTCATAACATGGAATGATCTTGGGTTAGTAAATTAATTGAAAGGAATCTTGAATCAAAACTTAGGTGATTTAAAATATTTTCTAGGGTTGAAAATCTTAAGGATTGGGGAGAAAATTTTACTTAATCATAGGAAATATGTATTGGAGCTAATCAAAAGCACTAATTTAGGGGGATCAAAATCAGTTGTTACTCCCTTGAAACAAAATATAAAGCATGTGAATTGTTAGCAGCAAGGGGATGGTTTGTTTGATGATAAAACTATATTTCAGATATAATTGGGAAGCTTATTTATCTGATTCACACATGGTTAAACATCACTTATGTAGTGTAACACCTCAGTCAGTTCATGTAATAACCAAAATCTTTTCTGGAATCAACACTCAAACTAATAAGATATCTAAAGAAGGATTTAAGAAAAGAGATCTTATTGAAGGCATAAAGCAAATGCCAACTTGAGGTTTTATGTGATTCAGATTAGGCATCTTGCCTTATGTCAATAAAACCAATGATAGGATTCTATGTAAAATTAGGAAACTCTTTTTGATTTCTTGAAAATCCTAGAAGAAAAATACTATTGTCAGTTCCTCTGCTGAGGCATAATAAAAACAGCTTGGTCATTACTGCAGTAGGAATGGTTTGGTTAAAAGAAATGTTAGAAGAGATAGGAGTAACATTGAAGCAATCAATTATTTTATACAGTGATAACAAAGCAACACTTCAAATAGTAGCAAACCCTATAATTTATAAGAGAGCAAAACATGTTGAGATAAATTGTTAACCTTATAATTTTGTAGATTGTCACTTTATAAGAGAGAAAATTCAAGAAAAATCAATTCCAACGAAGCATGTGAGCATAACTAAGCAATTGGCAGATGTGTTAACAAAGGCCCTTGAAATTCGACAACATGAATATCTTATTTCAAGGCTGGGGATGAAAAGTATCTTTCAAGCACTAACTTGAGGGGGTGTAGAGAGTTAGTTTATTGTATTCAGTTACTTTCTATTGGTTAGTTAAATTGACAATTAGCGATTTATTTTTCTGTTATTCAATTGTGTGCATAAATATACTATTATAAAGTGAATATTCAATTGGAATAAAAGTAATGCTTTTCCACATTAATTTTTTAACAATCCTCGACCACATGGTATGTTGATTGTAGGATAAATGCATGTTACTTTCCATTAGAATCCAGAATTGTTTTTAATAGTATGGAATGTTGTTATCTCTAAAGATTATGAATTCAAACACTTATATATGTAAGACATGTTGTCAATTGTTAAAAAATATTCTGAACATATACTACCTCATAATCACCCCCATACTATTCATCTCATTTTCATTTTAAAAAACTCAACCACCATCCAAATCAATTTTCAGTTTTTTTTTTATATAAAATCTATATCTAAACTCAATCCATAACTAAATACATTTCAATAAAATTCTAACACATAATTCAAAATTAACCATTATTCTTTAATAAAAATTTAACAATTATCCCACCATTGATTTGGTCCCCAAAAAATTTAAGGTAAACTATATAAAACTCCCTGTAAAACATATCATAAGCATGAACTTGGAGTAGTGGTCTAGCACACCTTTATCCTTCCTAAATGACCTAGGTTTGAGTCCTCCTATTCTCTTTGATATTCTTCCTTTATTTGCAGTTTAATTTTTTTTCACTAGATGGTGTCACCATCTGGTTGGAAGATAAATATATAAATTAATTAAATATAAATTATAAAAAAACATTTAATCTAATGGTGACATAAGTCACCATCTAATTGGTGGATTAAATTTATTAAATTAAATTAAATTAAATTTAAGACCAAATTGATAGGATGTATAAGTATTAAGGATAAAATATAGAATTACACCAATTTTGTTAACTGTCATGTCAGCATGTCCGTCCAAAGTTAACGGATAGTGGTTTGATTGACATCATTTAAATAGTTAGATGATCTGATTGATAAAATTGAAATATAGGTGATAAAAGTAAAAGGAGTGCATAGTTTGGTGATCAATGACATAGTTTACCCAAAATTCGATCTATTCTTTTTATTGTTTAATTTTGCCTCAGTTATTCAGTTGAGTACAGTAAGTAGTAGAATCTGTAATTATTTTTGTATGATATCTAACATGTCTAATCACCCTTTTAGCTCGTGTATCCCCTCCAAATCTCAACGAATAATGAGAATTAAAGTAATAGGAGCATGCATGAAATGAAGTAAAAAGAGCCATCCCCTTTAAAATCCCCAAAAACCGTGTTGCGGATAAACATTGGACGATGCCTTTGTTGAGACAGCTAACATAGCAACCCCAAAACACCCATCCACCCAAACCTAAAAGAAACCACGTAGGTGAAGCGTGTCCAAGAGGGTGGCATTTCATGTTATTTCAACAAAAAGGCAAGACTAGTATCGAGAACCCATACGTATATACATATTATATTATAGGTTAATGAACAAATATAAATAATGTTTTATATAAAGGGAGACTGATTGATATCATTGCGTGCTGATTAGTGTTGCAATCAAAGACCCCCAAATTGGTGCTGTCATTCTGCCGTATTTATATTCCTAAGACCTCAATCAATCCCCACCACAACTCCTCCCTTCTCTTTCATTTTAGTAGTTGACCATTTAGCTTTCTAAATTTACTCTTGGGAAGATCGTTTTTGTTCCGTTGGTATCAACTATCAAGCATGGAAGATCGCAAAGAGGTAGGTTGTTTGTTTTTCGGCTGGATTTTTAACTCTTGGTGATGAAATTCAGTGATTTTAAACATAATAATCGTTTTAAGTTGGAGTCTTGGTGATTTAGAGTGTTCAGTTTAGGAGTTTATTTTCAGCAAAAACCAATTCTTATCTTCTTGCAGAGGTCGATATTTACTACTCCATAGGTTGATGAAAAGAATTTTTATTTTACTATTGCGAAGTGTATGGAGTTGTAAATTTGTAAGGCCTTTCATTTTCTGTTAACTTTTCCGATCTCAAAAGGCGAAACTCCCCTTTACAGAAGAAAAAAATTGATAATCTTAAAGTGGGAAAAAAAGAAAGAAAACAGTGGAACACTAAAAGCTGGTCTCCGGCCAAAATTTATGATTTGCTTACAGTTTGACAGCTCACAAGGTCATGGACTTTTCTAAATAAAAACTCAAATGGCATCTTTTTATTCCCCGTCTTGAAAAAAGATCAAAACAAAGAATTTCATATTCTGTTTGAGCATTGTTCCTACCCAATTCCAGAGAGGAGAGTTCATATTCTACTCTATTTTTGAATGCTTTGTGTTAATGAGAGCAAGGCTTTGCTGATATTGGGTTTTCCTTGGGGTGTTGAAATTGATGTAGAAAAACGCTCCATGGCTATCGGTACCTCAGTTTGGGGACTGGGACCAAAAGGGACAGCTCCCAGATTACTCTTTAGACTTTTCAAAAATCAGGGAAATGAGGAAGCAAAACAAGAGGGATGTTTCAAGAGCCAGTCTTGGAAATGAAAATGACTTCATTAACCCAACCGCCACCAGTGTCAGCAGCAGCACTGCTGCCACTGATGATCACCACAATTTCCCTCAAGACAATCACTCCCCATCTGTAAGATTCCCCCTCCCTCCCGCTAAATACGCAATTATCTTATTCAACCAATTGTTGCTAAAGATATAAACTTTGGTGTCATGCATGCATGTGCTTAGTTGGATCAATTAGTCATTTTTCTTTGATGTTTTATTGACAGACAAGGAGGAGAATCCTCAACTACTTCACCTGTTGCGTCAAGGCCTAAGGTTTGGGGTTTAAAGCTCTATTTTTTTTTTTTTTGTTAAAAGTTACAAAATAGTCAACAGACTAATCACATGTTTCAAATTCCTCATTTTCATTAAAAAATTGATGTTCGTCTGAATTGGATGTTAATATTTGAGATTCTGGGATCAAATTTTATCATATTAGATTCAGCAGGTTAACGCTTAACTTAGATTGTTATCAATATTTAAACGGAAAACGACGAGGTTAGAAATATGAATAATCGAGTGGATATTTTACAACTTTTAATAGTCGGAGACCATTTATGTACTTTACCCTCATTTATATGTAATATAACTTTATAAATGATATACGTTAGACAATGCATGAGACTTGAGATGAAGGAATAACTGGTTTATCATTTAGATAATAGAATTATGTTCATATTTTATTTTAAATCTATGTATGGATGAATCAATGAATTCACTAAGGTGATGTTTGATAAATTAAAAGATTAAAGGTTGAATGCATTAACGACTTAAGGTGATGTTTGATAAATTAAAAGATTAAAGGTTGAATTGCATTAATGACTTGGGGTGATTTAATATCATTATTAACTATGGTAGTTGTGGTCTTCATTTCAGGAGGTGCAGAACTATTGCATATTATACGCAAGTCTTAACATGGTACAGATTTATTTTTAGTTTGAAGGGATGGTTAGTGTTCAGACATATTGAATTGCATTAAATCTGATTTTATCAGTGAAACAAAATAACATAGGGCACATCGAAGGTTGAAATTTAGCACTGGTTTGGACCACAAATGTTAACCCATTTTCGATTGATTAAAGCTGCCAATCCTCTCACCATTAAGATGGAACTGGCCCCCCTCATGATTTTAGCCTCAATTCTCCACCCAAATTTTGTCTCAGGTCACATCCTTGGATATCAGCCCCATCACTTGTAATCTCTCAGTATTTCCAAATTTCGCATTTCTTTATTTCTCCTTTACCATTCATTCAAATTATACATTAGAAAAGAGTAAGCCCATTAAGATACAAGAAAAGAAAAGAGTAACCTCAGGTTCATCAGATCATCGTCAGATTTCCCTAATCTTACAAAATCAAGTAGTGATGAAGCAGAAGAATAAAACAAAGACGAGACAAAATGGACTTAATAAAGTAATACTTTATAATCGGGAGATCATTTGTGTACTTTATTCTATAAATTATAGGGTAAATTATACGGGTGGTCCTTTATGCTTTTAGTCCGTCCAATTTTGGTCATTGGTTAAGAAAAGTGATTTTGATCCCTTATCCTATCAACCCGTTCAACTTTAGTCTCTCGACAATTAACAGGTTAACAAAGTTTTTTTTTTCAACTCAAACTTTCGTTAATGGGTTAACAAGAGTTAGCAGTTGAGGGATTAAAGTCGAACAGACCGATAATATAAGGGACCAAAATTCTTTTTCTTAACTGGTGATCAAAATCGGACAGACTAAAATCATAAAGGACCACTCGTATAATTTACCTTAAATAATATAATAACGTTCTATATATTGATATAAGTTTAAAGTTTGAACTTTATTTTCCCTAGCATGATTTCAGGATAAATCGATGGGTGGATATGGCGAAGTCCACTGAAAATTTAAAATTATTATATATTTAAATAGAATTATATTTTTTATTGAGAATATATTTTTATCTTTTTGAAATTTTATAAATTCATATTTGCTGTTGGTACGGGAAATAGAAAGAAATAATTCGCCTTTGCAGCAGCAAACAACAACGACCACTTCAGAACGTCTATTAATTACATTTAATGCAATAAAAAATCCAAAAATGATTGATGGTTGTTATGGGAAGAAAATGGGGTTTTAAAGAAGGATCCAATGTCTATAATATTCTACAAATGGGGGTTGTGCAGATCCCTTGTTCACCCAGCAAACCGTGTTCACCAAAATCACACTCATTCTCATGATTGGATTGTCTCAGGAAAGGCGGACTAATATATAGCGTTACCGGATACATTAAAAGATATTTAATAAATTCGGTTTAGCGCTACCGGAAATGTTGAGTAATAATAATGTAGTAGGTCTAAATCATGAAGAAATATTAAAACATTTGGCAACCGACAAACTTAGCTTGTCGGTTTATGTCGATATTTTATAAAACTATAACGATCCACATCAATATAACAGGAAAAATATGACAAAACCGGTAAAGCGCTACCGGATATATTGCACGTGTCGATACTTTAATATAAGTATCGACACATAGTGAATTTAAAGGAGAAGTAGTTGTAGAGCCTATAAAGTGTCGATTCTTTATAAATATGTATCGATCCACAACGATATAACAGGTAAAAATATGACAAAACCGATAAAGAGATATTGGATATATTTCAAGTGTCAATACTTTAATATAAGTATCGACACATTGTGAATTTAAAAGAGAAGCAGTTTTAGCGCCTATAAAGTGTTGATTCTTTATAAATATGTATCGATCCACAATGATATAATAAGTAAAAATATGAAAAAACCGGTCAGGAAATGACAAAACTGGTAAAGAGATACCAAATATATTGCAAGTGTCGATATTTTACTATAAGTATCGACACATTGTGAATTTAAAGGAGAAGTCGTTTTAGCGCCTATAAAGTGTCGATTCTTTATAAATATGTATCAATCCACAACGATATAACATGTAAAAATATGATAAAACCGGTCTCGAAAAGACAAAACCGGTAAAGAACTACCGGATATATTGAAAGTGTCGATAATTTAATATAAGTATCGACACTTTGTGAATTTAAACAAGAATCAGTTTTAGCGCCTATAAAGTGTCGATACTTTATAAAAATGCATCGATCCATAACGATATAACAGGTAAAAATATGATAAAACCTGGTCTCTAAATGACAAAACCGGTAAAGCGCTACCGGATATATTGAAAGTGTCGATACTTTAATAAGTACGCGTAATAAATTATCGATACTTTCAAAGAAATAGGTAATTATACTATCGAAAGTATCGACACATGACATAAAAGTATCGACACTTTTGTAGTTGTATCTATTAAATAGAAATAACATATGGCATAGTTAAATATCCTCTGAAAAATAGATAGAACGGACGAGTTTTTGAAATCGAAGCGTAATTGTTGTTGCATTTCAGAAGGCGTTTCTAAAGCGAAGTTTGTTTGTTTGTTGCTGCTGTCGAATCAAAAAGTACGTTGTCGAAACCTTAGTTTTTTATTATTACAGTAATCGAAATAGAGTTTTTATGTGTTGTTTGTGGTTTTGGAGTAATGAAGCATTTGGGACCGATTACATGTAGAAAGTGATATTCTAGGTAAAATATAAATATCGATACTTTTATTAAATATTATAGGTAGAAAATGATATTATAGGTTGTATAAATGTGTCGATACTTAGAGTTTTGAGTGTTCCCATTCGTTTGAAGGAAATAGGGATTAGGATTTTTGGGTTTAGTTTGGGGATTTCGAATTGAGGCCAAGAAGGATTTGAGACCGATTATATATAATATTCTAGGTAGAAAATAAATATGGATACCTGTATATAATATTATAGGTAGAAAATGATATTTTAGGTTGTATAAATGTGCCGACACATTTTGTAGTGACCATTCAAATTCTTTTGAAGAAAACTGTTTTACCACAAGAGTAGTTATCTATATTTGTATATTAAATAAAGTGTATGTAACAAGTATTTGATTTGATTTGCGTAAACTGATATATGAAGGAAAAATGGAGTCAATGGGTGGAAATATTGTTGGTGGCGCAGATGACTTTGAAATTGAGGCCGAGACTCGAAAACAACCAAATGGTGGATATATGTATTTCTAGTAAGTATCAATGTCTTTTTGTTATTATTGTTGAAATGGTAATTGTATTAAAGTATTTAAGAACTTTAAATTGATGACAAATTTTAAATGTTGACAGTATGACCGAATGCAAAAGGATGAAGGAAGGTGGCGAACACATCGGTTTGGTATGTAAATTGAAATTGACATTGAGTATTATTTAGCGTTAATGTATTGATTAAAAAAACGTTTATGCTTAATATTAGGTGAGAAATGATGTGTTGGAGAAATGAAATTCAATGAGTGATGCTGAGAAGGAACCTTACATTGTACAGTCAAAGATGGATAGTGAAGAATACAAAGAATGGAGGAAAGCACGTGAAAAGAAGGTATTCATTAAACTTGTAAATACGTTGATACAAAATATATAAGAACTATAACATTATATATTGTTAAAAAATGTAGGAAGTGTCGACAAGGTGCAGCATTAAAAGGGTGAATTCATTAGTTATACACCTAAAGGAGAAGGGTCAGTTGAATGTGTTGGGAGAAATGGGGTTTGGATTATTGGTAGGAGTAAGGGATTGACCAATTCGGAGGGAATTGTGTCGATCCTTGATGGTGCAATTTGATGTCAAACAATGTATTGCTAAATATGGTGATTTTTTATTTCCTCTCGGGATCCCATGTGATGCAGCCGTATTGGGGGTAGGAAATGAAGGCAAAAGTGTTGTAGAAGTCTCTAAGAGTAAGGACTGGAAAGCACTTGCCTCCAAATATGGTTTGAAGCAGAAGGTGACATATGCTGAACTTGAAGAGGAAATCAAAAGTGGATCTTACGGGGGGATGAGCTGAAGGCCCGAGTTCTATTGTACCTTGTCGAGATCTTTCTTTGTCCAACGGGTGATACGTCAACGAACAAGGACTATATGAAGCTCATTTGCGATGAAGGCTTGAAGGATGAATTCAATTGGGCTGAATATGTCCATTCGAGATTGATTAAATCAATAATCACCTTTAAAAATGGCAGCCAGAGATACCTCAAAGG